CGTCACATCTCGTCACCAGCCAGTCTACGGACGTCACATCTTGTCACCAGCCAGTCTACTGTCGTCAAATCTCGCTACCAGCCATACTTTTGTCGTTTAATCTCGTCACAGCCGGTCTCATGTCACATCTCGTCACCAGCCAGTCTACTGTTATCCCATCTCGTCATCTGCCAGTCTTCGGTCGTCACATCTCACAACCAGCCTCTGGCCGTCACATCTCGTCACCAGCCAGTCTACTGTCGTCCCATCTCATCACCAGCCCGTCTTCTGTCGTCACATTTCGTCACCAGCCAGTCTCCTGTCGTCACATCTCGTCACCAGCCATACTTCTGTCACATCTCGTCACAGCCGGTCTTCTGTCGTCACATCTCGTCACCAGCTGTCGTTACATCTTGTCACCAGCTGACGTAACATCTTGTTGCCAGCTAGAGTTCTGTCGTCACATCTCGTCAACAGCCAGCCTACTGTCGTCACATCTCGTCACAAGGCAGTCTCCTGTCGTCACATCTCGTCACCAGCCAGTCTACTGTCGTCACATCTTGTCACCAGCTGTCGTCACGTCTCGTCACCAGGCAGTCTCCTGTCGTCACATCTCGTCGTCAGTCAGTCTACTATCGTCACATCTCCTCACCAGCTGTCGTTAGATCTCGTCACCAGCCAGTTTTCTGTCTTCAAAACTTGTTACCAACCATACTTCTGTCGTCACATCTCGTCACAGTTGGTCTCCTGTCGTCACACTATGTCACCAGCTAGACTTCTGTCGTCACATCTCGTCACCAGCTGTCGTCACATCTTGTCACCAGCCATATTACTGTCGTCACATCTCGTTACCAACCATACTTCTGTCGTCACATCTCGTCACCAGCTGTCGTTACATCTTGTCACCAGCTGACGTAACATCTTGTTGCCAGCTAGAGTTCTGTCGTCACATCTCGTTACCAGCCAGACTACTGTCGTCATATCTCGTCACCAGTCAGTCTTCTGCCGTCACATCTCGTCACCAGCCAGTCTACTGACGTCAATCTCGTCACCAGTCAGTCTTCTGTCATTACATCTCGCCACCAGCCAGTGTACTGTCGTCACATCTTTCCATCAGCCAGTCTTCTATCGTCACATCTCTTCATCAGCCACTCTATTAGTCTTCTGTCGTCACTTTTCGTCACAAGTCAGCCTACTGTCATCACATCTCGTCATCAGCCAGACAATTGTGGTCACATCTCGTCACCAGCCAGTCTACTGTCGTCACTTCTCGTCACAGCCAGTTTCCTTCCGTCACATCTCGTCACCAGTCAGTCTACTGTCGTCCCATCTCGTCACCAGCCAGTCTACTGTCGTAACATCTCGCCACCAGCCAGTCTAGTGTCGTCACATCTCGTCACTAGCAAGTCTACTGTCGTCATATCTCGTCACCAGCTAGACTTCTGTCGTAATATCTCGTCACCATCTATCGTCACATCTCGTCACCAGCTGTCGTCACATCTCGTCACCAGCCAGTCTACTGTCGTCACGTCTCGTTACCAGCCAGTCTACAGTCGTCATATCTCGTAATCAGTCAGTCTACTGTCGTCACATCTCGTCAGCAGCCAGTCTACTGTCGTCACATCTCGTCACCAGCCAGTCTACTGTCGTCAAATGTCGTCACCAGCCAGTCTACTGCCGTCACATCTCGTCACCAGTCAGTCTCCTGTCGTCACATCTCATCACCAGCCATACTTCTGTCGTCACATCTCGTCATCAGCCAGTCTACTGCCGTCACATCTCGTCACCAGCTGTCGTCACATCCCGTCACCAGCCAGCCTTCTGTCGTCACATATCGTCATCAGCCAGACTTCTGTCTTCATATCTCGTCACTAGCCAGTCTATTGTCGTCACATCTCGCCAGCCAGGCTACTGTCTTCACATTTCGTCACCTGCCAGACTACTGTTGTCATATCTCGTCACCAGCCAGTTTTCTGCCGTCACATATCGTCACCAGCAAGTCTACTGTCGTTACATCTCGCCACCAGCCAGTCTACTGTCGTCACATCTCGTCACCAGCCAGTCTACTGTCGTCACATCTCGTCACCAGCCAGTCTACTCTTGTTACATCTTGTCACCAGCTGTTGTCACATCTCGTCACCAGCCAGTCTACTGTCGTCACATCTCATCACCAGCCAGTCTACTGTGTCGTCACATCTCATCACCAGCCAGACTTCTGACATCACATCTCGTCACCAGTTAGCCTTCTGCCGTCACATCTCGTCACCAGCCAGTCTACTGTCCTGACATCTCGTCATCAGCCAGTCTACTGCCATCACATCTGGTCACAAGCTGACGTCACATCTCGTCCCCACCCAGAATTCTGTCGCCCCATCTGGCGATCAGCCAGTCTACTCTCGTCACAGCTCGCCACCAGCTAGGCCTCTGTCGTCACTTCTCGTCACCAGCCAGTCTACAGACGTCAAATCTTGTCACCAGCCAGTCTACTGTTGTCACATCTTGTCACCATTCAGTCTACTGTTGTCACATCTCGTCACCAGCCAGTTTCCTGTCGTCAAATCTCGCTACCAGCCATACTTCTGTCGTTACGTCTCGTCACAGCCGGTCTCATGTCGTCACATCTCGTCACCAGCCAGTCTACTGCCGTCACATCTCGTCACCAGCTGTCGTCACATCCCGTCACCAGCCAGTCTACTCCCAGCCAGCAAATCGGAGCTTTCCCCGTATGGGGAAGGCCTATGGCGAGCTTGGGGCAGGCTCGGGGAAACCCCAACCGTTCTCTTGGGGAAAACGGAGCGTTCGCTTGGGATTTGAGACACTTTGTACGGGGAACTTTGTGCGGGATTCGTACGGGGAAACGGTATAACTGCCCAAGCGTTCCCCAAACGTCCCCCAGGCTACCCCCGCGCCGACTATGGTTAAAATCCGTTGTTAAGGTCGGTTCCCCGTACGGGGTTATCGAACATTTTCCCCAAGAAGATCCTGTGCGAGCCCCGCACATTCCCCCACCCGGCTATACGGGTTTATACTTACTAGAGACCTTCCCCGATCGGGGAAACCGTGATTTTCCCCTAACGTTCCCAGACCTTTTCCCCGCGCGAGCCCCGGCCGTTCCCCGACTTGGCAATGGCCCTACTGCCTTGTCTGCTTTTTTCCCCGTACGGAGAAGCCAGTAAAAAACCGCACTGGGAAACAAATCGGGTCCCATTAAAATTGACAATGGCTATTTATTTTGTCTGTAAACATACAAATATTTGTATAAACATACTTGTTTACGGACGCCATTTAATTGCGTCCCAGAAAAGCTATTTCTGGCACCTAAAAGCTGACTCGCCCCAAAATTGGTCCTCAGCACCTATTTGGTGGATACCAGCACCAATCATGGAAAATGACCTTAATTAGCTGTTTCTGGCACCTATTCATCGGTACGCCTTACTCTTTTTTCTGAATCTGGCACCTAAATGCTGAGCGTAGCACCAATCTAGTAGAAAAATGAACTACTGGCTGGTAGAATCATGTTGTTCTGGTATAATGACCCCTGGAGTCTAGCCTAAAGGTTGCCAGTGCAGCTACACTCTAAGACAGCCCCGTAGTGATCTCAGCATTGTATATGACGTTTAAGTAAGCAAATAATATTGATTTGTTTGAAAAAACAATGTCATTTAAATATTTAAAAGTATTTATTTGTAATGCTTAAAGGGAAACATTTTTGTGAGTAATTGTCTCGATTTTGACCATTAAAACGGGTATTGTATTTTTTGACGTCATCAAATAGCTCCAAAAAAGAAATGTAATGTTTTCATTCCGTTCAAGGCCGCTGAAGAAACGCGGGATCTTGCGTGGGACATTGTCCGTTGTTTGCCGCGCAGAGTTGTGCCGTGGTTGTCCCTTTTTCATCCGTTTCTTACTTATGTCATATGTGTGCATGAAGCTTTGATTTTGTTTTTGGTTATTGTGTGGCCGGTCAGTCAAACGCCCCTGTAGAAACCGGATGCTGCGTTTGATCAAGATGGAGTCAGACGATGATTGCAGAAAGCTAATAATATTGAAAAGAGGGCCGGTCGCGTGGCATGTCTGTTCAGAGTTGACATTTTGCTTTACTCCAGTTTATGACCTGAGAGCCTGGCTGGAAGTGACGGATCCAAACTTTTCACGTTAAAATGGCTGAGGGTGCAGTAATCTCTAGTCTCTACATAGCGGGCTGGTATAGGAGCGTCTTGCTATGCTGCACCATAGCTGGCTAGTGATTCTCTTTTGGCTAGAAATGGCATTAATCATTATCTCCACTGGCGAAAATGGCACTTGACATCACCGAATGCAACGTTCATGTTGTTAGGATACATAAAATCAGGAAGATTACGCGAATTAGGTAGGCAAACGTGGAATAAAATAGTTGCTGGATGTTTTGGTTTTGGTGCTGAATCAGCAAACAGCAAATACGGAGTTCAACTAGACGATCTGGCAACTTAAGGCTGTGTGGAAGCAATTAGGTGCCAGATTCAGATATTAGGGTCGAATAAGCATTTTGGGGCTGAGCAGCAATTAGGTGCCAGAAACAGCTTTTTAGGGACCAGAAACAAATATTCCCCCTTGTTTACATACAAACAAAATTGTTCACGTGTTTCCCCGCAATAGGGAAACGATAAAACCACACAGGAAAATAATTAGAACCAATCCATTTGGCCATGCCGGTTTATTTCCAGACTTTCAGGACGCTTCAACGACTAGATCAATACACAACAGTCGGCCAAGCATGGTATGTGGCTGTACCACCACAGCCTATACTATTTTTATGTGGAGTCTTTCATTTAATGAAAGGTTAACATGCTTGATAATTGATATACTCGATACAAATCAAGACAAACACTAAAAAAGTTATTATTCACTTAAAATACATTGTGAACGCTTAGCAGGTGGCAAACATTACAGCAGCAGCGCAGCAGTGACAAACAACAGGTGACGAACACGAGCACTGGTAACCGGTCTAACCCCAGTTCTAACACGTCGAACCCCAGTTGATCCTCTGCAGTAGGAGTCTGTTCAGCAGATTGAGAACGACGGCTTTTCTGTAGTCTCCCTACAGCTGGTCCGGCCTTCCGTTCAGTAGTGCCCTGGATCCACAACTCGAGTCTTCCTTCTGGCTGTTTCAGACACATCTCAGCGGTCAGCTGCCGCTGAGAGCCACCTTGCTATGATCAATGTCCCAACGCATCTCCAGGAATTCTGCGGCTGTGGACAAAAACAAAAATATGTGCGCTTGTAGGTATATCAATCAGGTTTTACAGCTAGCTACTACATGAAATGTCCTTTTATGGAAACTTCAGCTTACGCTGAAACATGTTGAATGCCATTTTATGAAATTACACTTATTTATAGCTTTTTTTCCCACGAAAAGTGCTTCAAAATGAATGTGATATACTTTGAATAGTTAATTAAAACAAGAAATAAAAATTCAATAATTAAATTTGTATTTCTAAACAATTCTCCTTCCAGGAAAGTCATTAGGTAATAAATGTTTTACGTCTATATTACGCCTTACGAAGTTCCTCGCGAAAGCACTTGACAGATAAATGAACGCCGTTTGACAATTAAAATCGGTTGCTAGTTTATCAAGATAACAATGAAGTCCCTTTCACAAACAGAGCTGTCTAGTAGAGCTGCTGAAACAGGCTCTTTCCGAAGACAAAAAAAAAATGGAATGCGAAAGCCTATTCAAATACATGTATTTATTACAATCGCGTCAATCGTTCGCACATCCCTGTAAGCGATCGTGATTTCATGTATTTAATTAATGGGCTCTCGCATGAGATTTTCTGGCTGTAGGAAGTGTGTCTCAGCCTTTAGACTTGGGTGAAGGACAGGTTGTTCAACAGCTCTAAGCTAACCCCCACCCCCATAAACTGCTTACCAGCTTCGCCTGGAAGTCGCTCTTCGGTTGCTCATGCGAGCAATTACGCATTAACTCCACGCCGGGTTCATACTGCTGTTGTGGGTTCTGCCAAGTCCCGTCGGAAGCCTTCCGGTCGTAACCGGCAGACGTCCCTCTAGAACAGAAGCAGATAAAGCATTAGGCTGATGACATTATATTGTCCGGGCAATTTAAGGATAATCTCAGACGGAGGTTGATGACCTCAGTCATTTTTACGTCATAATCTGCATAACCTAGACAGTGATCAAGATATTGTGCGTATCGGAAGCTTTGTCTTTTACAATAAATTTGATTTAGTATCATCGTCATTTTATATCTATCATGGATTCGTTACAATTAAGTACTTTAGTTCATTACCAACACAGCATATCTTCCTCGTCGAGCTGCGTCCTCCGTTGGTGCCGAGTCCAGCTTCTCACGCACTGACCCCAGCGGTAGATCACGACTTTGGGCACAGGTCAGTCAAGCGGTCACCACATCTCGCCGTTCACCGTCTTCGTTCACAAATCACAGCTCTGTAGTGTCGCTGCACTCTTCAGTGCCAACCATTGTCTGACCTGGAGCGGTACCTAGCCCACGGCTTGCTCACACAACCGCGCGGCGCAGTGACTCTGGACCGACTTCCCCCGTTCGTCCCGTCTGACGCGTCGGCACGGCCCCATTCACGATGACAGATGGCGACAGGAGAGGCCCCTCAACCAGATGTGCGGACGGAACCGACGGCGGCCGGCCGTTGCTACCCCTCCCTCCCCTCCCCTCACTGCGTTGAGGCGACACTTCTAAGTCGTAAGCAGTGTGTTGTTGAAATTTTGATGCTTTTGTAATTCCAATGCGATGAGTGATGACAGAAGAAAGAAAACGTTATGTTTATGCCACAGCAGTGCGAGAAGAAACATAGATCCTGAAAGCTGTCAAAGTTTTTTTTTTACCTCATGAAATAAGGGCACCAACGTTCGTTCAAAGTAATGGCGTATGCGTGTCCTCATCCACTGGGCTTAGCAGGCCCCGTAAACCAAGACGGCTTTTCCTCTCTTTTAGGTCGAAAATTACATAGATCCAATGTCTACAATCAAATGTCTGCGAATAACCGTTTTCATGATAGGTAACTGGTACACAATTGGTAGACATTTGGTCCAGATACGGTGCCGATTTGATAAAATTATCAGACATTATTTTCGATTAAAACACTGAAATAAATAGGTATATGATATGAAGATATGAAAAAGAGATTTGGTGCAAATTTGGTCACTGTTTGATGCATTCGCCAGATCACCTGTCATGAAAACGATTATAAAAAATCGTTATATCGTTATATTTTTTATTTATTATATCTCCCTTCAATCGATGCATGAGCCTATAGCTCTAGAACTGCTCCTAAGACTGCTTTTAACATTCCCAAGATTCAATTTTTCTTTCTTGAATACTTGTTATATTACATGCTGGAAGTCGATCTCAAGACGTCCTACTGGCGGTTGGGATTCGTCTGGGGATTAAGTGTAAAATCCCCAGCGGGGAATTTCAACATTTCCCCTTCTTTTCCCCAATCAAACTATTCTTGAAAATGGGTCGGGGATAACGCACCCTTCCCCGTACGGGGAATCTGATCTTTTACCCGACCGAACCCCGACAGTGGGGTTTGATTGGGGAATGCTGTTCTTTCCCCGTGCGGGGATCGGTGTGATTTCCCCATGTCTTTTGAACATATTACCGATACAGTCGGGGAAGGGATGGGGAACACGGACCGTTCCCCGATCCGATAGGGGAATTGTACGTTCTCCCCAAGCTTTCCCCAACACTGTCCCCGCACTTTCCCCAACCGAATTGCTGGCTGGGCTGTCTTCATATCTCGTCACTAGCCAGTCTATTGTCGTCACATCTCGCCAGCCAGGCTACTGTCTTCACAATTCGTCACCTGCCAGACTACTGTCGTCATATCTCGTCACCAGCCAGTCTTCTGCCGTCACATCTCGTCACCAGCCAGTCTACTGTCTACATATCTCGTCACTAGCCCGTCTATTGTCGTCACATATCGCCAGCCAGGCTACTGTCTTCACATTTCGTCACCTGCCAGACTACTGTCGTCATATGTCGTCACCAGCCAGTGTTCTGCCGTCACATTTCGTCAGTCACCAGTCAGTCTACTGTCGTCACATCTCGCCACCAGCCAGTCTACTGTCGTCACATCTCGTCACCAGCCAGTCTACTGTCGTCACATCTCGTCACCAGCCAGTCTACTCTTGTTACATCTCGTCACCAGCTGTTGTCACATCTCGTCACCAGCCAGTCTACTGTCGTCACATCTCATCACCAGCCAGTCTACTGTCGTCACATCTCATCACCAGCCAGACTTCTAACATCACATCTCGTCACCAGTTAGCCTTCTGCCGTCACATCTCGTCACCAGCCAGTCTACTGTCCTGACATCTCGTCATCAGCCAGTCTACTGCCATCACATCTGGTCACAAGCTGACGTCACATCTCGTCCCCACCCAGAATTCTGTCGCCCCATCTCGCGATCAGCCAGTCTACTCTCGTCACACCTGACCTCGCCACCAGCTAGGCCTCTGTCGTCACATCTTGTCATCAGCCAGTCTACTGTTGTCACATCTCGTCACCAGCCAGTCTCCTGTGGTCAAATCTTGCTACCAGCCATACTTTTGTCGTTACATCTCGTCACAGCCGGTCTCATGTCGTCACATCTCGTCACCAGCCAGTCTACTGTCGTCAAATCTCATCACCAGCCATACTTCTGTCGTCACATCTCGTCATCAGCCAGTCTACTGCCGTCACATCTCGTCACCAGCTGTCGTCACATCCCGTCACCAGCCAGCCTTCTGTCGTCACATATCGTCATCAGCCAGACTACTGTCTTCATATCTCGTCACCAGCCAGTCTATTGTCACATCTCGCCAGCCAGGCTACTGTCTTCACATTTCGTCACCTGCCAGACTACTGTCGTCATATCTCGTCACCAGCCAGTCTTCTGCCGTCACATCTCGTCACCAGCCAGTCTACTGTCGTCACATCTCGCCACCAGCCAGTCTTTTCTTGTTACATCTCGTCACCAGCTGTTATCCCATCTCGTCATCTGCCAGTCTTCGGTCGTCACATCTCACAACCATTCTCTTGCCGTCACATCTCGTCACCAGCCAGTCTACTGTCGTCCTATCTCATCACCAGCCAGTCTTCTGTCGTCACATTTCGTCACCAGCCAGTCTCCTGTCGTCACCAGCCATACTTTTGTCGTCACATCTCGTCACAGCCGGTCTTCTGTCGTCACATCTCGTCAACAGCCAGTCTACTGTCGTCACATCTCGTCACCAGGCAGTCTCCTGTCGTCACATATCGTCACCAGCCAGTCTCCTGTCGTCACATCTCGTCACCAGCCAGTCTACTGTCGTCACATCTCGTCACCAGCCAGTCTCCTGTCGTCACATCTCGTCGTCAGTCAGTCTTCTATCGTCAAATGTCACCAGCTGTCGTAACAACTCGTCACCAGCCAGATTACTGTCGTCACATCTAGTTACCAGCCAGTCTACTGACGTCATATCTCGTCACTAGTCAGTCTTCTGTCATTACATCTCGCCGCCAGCCAGTGTACTGTCGTCACATCTTTCCATCAGCCAGTCTTCTATCGTCAGATCTCTTCATCAGCCACTCTTTTAGTCTTCTGTCGTCACTTTTCGTCACAAATCAGCCTACTGTCGTCACATCTCGTCATCAGCCAGACTATTGTGGTCACATCTCGTCACCAGCCAGTCTACTGTCGTCACTTCTCGTCACAGCCAGTTTCCTTCCGTCACATCTCGTCACCAGTCAGTCTACTGTCGTCCCATCTCGTCACCAGCCAGTCTACTGTCGTAACATCTCGCCACCAGCCAGTCTACTGTCGTCACATCTCGTCACCAGCCAGACTACTGTCGTCAAATCTCGTCATCAGTCAGTCTACTGTTGTCGCATCTTGTGATCAGCCAGAGTATTGCCAAAACATCTGGGCACAAGCTGTCGTCACGTCTTGTCACCAGCAATACTTCTGTCGTCACTTCTCGTCATCAGCTGTCGTCACATCTCATCACCAGCCAGTCTAATGCCGCCACATCTCGTCACCAACCAGCCTCTTGTCACATCTCGTTACCAGCCAGTCTACTGACGTCACATCTCGTCACCAGCCAGTCTACTGTCGTCACATCTCATCACCAGCTGTCGTCACATCTCGTCGCCACCCTGAAATCTGTCGCCACATCTCGCGATCAGCCAGTCTACTATCGTCACACCTCGCCACCAGCTAGGCTTCTGTCGTCACATCTCGTCACCAGGCAGTCTACTGTCGTCACAATTCTTCGGCAGCTAGTGTACTGTCGTCACATCTCGTCACCAGCTTGGCTACTGTTGTCATATCGTCACCAGTCTAAATTCGTTACATCTCGTCATCAGCCACACTACTGTCGTCACATCTAGTCTCAGCCAGTCTCCTGCTGTCACATCTCTTCACTAACTAGTCTACTGTCGTCCCGTCTCGTCACCAGCCAGTCTTCTGTCGGCACCAACTGTCGTCACATCTTGTCACCAGCTGTCGTCACATCTCGTCACCATCCAGTCTTTTGTCGTCACATCTTGTCACCATCCAGTCTACTGTCTTCACATTTCGTCACCAGGCAGTGTACTGTCATATCTTGTCACCACCTTTCGTCAACCTTGTCATCTGCCAGTCTACTTCCGTTAAATCTCTTCACCAGCTACACTACTGCCATAACATCTTGTCACAGCCAGTCTCCTGCCGTCACATGTAATCACTTGACAGTCTACTGTCGTCCCATCTCGTCACCAGCTCTTGTCACATCTCGTCACGAGCCAGTCAACTGTCGTCACATCTTGTCGCCAGCCAGTCTACTGTCGTCACATCTCGTCACCAGGCAGTCTATTGTCGTCACTTCTCGTCATCAGTCAGTCTACTGTGACATTTCGTCACCAGCCAGTCTACTGTCGTCAAATCTCGTCACCAGTCAGCCTACTGTCGTCAAATCCCGTCACTAGCCAGTCTATTGCCGTCCCATCTCGTCATTAGTCAGACTATTGTGGTCACATCTCGTCATCAGCCAGTCTACTGCCGTCACATCTCGTCAGCAGCCAGTCTACTGTCGTCACATCTCGTTACCAGCCAGTCTTCTGTCAACACATCTCGCTACCATTTGGAGTACTGTTGTCACATCTTGTCACCAGCCGGACTTCTATCGTCACGTCTCGGAACTAGCTAGACTGTTTTCGTCACATCTCGTCATTAGCCAGTCTACTGTCGTCACATCTTGTCACCAGCCAGTCTACTGTCGTCAGATCTCGTCACTAGCTGTTTTCACATCTCGTCACCAGGCAGTCTACTGTCCTCGCTTGTCGTCACTAGCTAGACATCTCCTCTCGTTACCAACTAGACTATTGCCGGCACATAACGTCACCAGCTGGACTACTCCCGCCACATCTCGTTTCCATCTGCATTACTGTCGTCACATCTCGTCACAGCCAGTCTCCTGTCGTCACCAGCCATACTTTTGTCGTCACATCTCGTCACAGCCAGTCTCCTGTCGTCACATGTCGTCACTAGCTAAACTTCGGTAGTCACATCTCTTCACCAGCTAGTCTCCTGTCGTCACACCTCGTCACTAGCCAGTTTCCTGCTGTCATA